TTCTTGCATTTTGAAAACATACTACAAAATTCTTTCATTTGACATCGCAGGATTGCATTAGAAAAATTCTAACTTCCAATTTAACCTCTTCCTCCCCCTCCCCAACTGACTTACAAGACAAAGTATTTTCGTTTTCAGTTAACGCCTAATCTGGGCCACTTATTATAAATTTCAATTGTAAAACGACTGTGTCAGATGGACAGACAGAGAAAAGTGTTTCTTATTGTCAAATTTGGGTAGGGGAAGGTGTCCTATAATGACATACTTTTTATAAAAAAAATCATAATTTTTTTGCATTGATTTATTTTGAAAATATTTTCACAGAAGGGCAAATAAAAATGAATAATCCTTAAATTTCCTAAAGAAAAACGTAATATAATGAAAAATAAATGGAACAGAGACCTAAAATGTTATTAGTTTTCTAGATGGGGGTGTCCAAAATGACATAGTATCAAAATATTAGTAAAAATTAATTGCACAAGTCACAAATAAATGTCTTTGATTTTGGAGTTAAATCTGTACACTCCAAATGAGCCCAGAACTGACACAGCATACACTGGATCCAAGTTTCCTTAGATTTTGATGCCCTAAATAACCCATTGCAATAGATGCAAGACACATCATCTTCATCATCAGTCTCTTGAAAGGATTCACTTTCTTCATCTGTCTCATCTTCAATTATTGCCTTGGGACTCTTTTTTGTAGTTTGATCACGCAAATTCATATGTAATTTAGAACAGTGTGCTTCTGACCTCAGAGTAAGTAAGTAGTAAAGAGAGGACAGTAAACAATGTTTGTGTCGCCATGATAATATGGTCGAGAATTCTAATTAGAGAGAAATAGATTAATATCTCTATCTCTTTGTTTGTATTTGTCAGTTTTATAAAGCTTTTCTCAGACAATTATTCCAGTGTTTAATTTAAATTTGTTCGTGTTGTGGTGTTAAAAGTAATTGTTATTAATATTATATTCATAACAAAAAAGTCATATTTTGTTTTCACTTCATTAAAAATGCAGCTACCTACCTTATAAAACATTTTATTTTATATTCTATTTGGTCAACATTTTCGCATTTAAAATGACCCAGCGAAATTGTTTTATGGTACGCTACTGCTGAGAATTCTAAAACGAGTGAGAAAGCCTTCATTAGAAAGAGAGATACTGATTATATGATAGCGAGATTAATATTGTATAACTTTATGCAGTGGTGGCCTATCTGCTATTATATTATCTAATAGCGGATTCGACTGGCTGCATTAATGCGCATTTAGTTCGACTTTTTTAAGTGATGTTTGTTCGACTGGCAGAACCTAATTAATTAAAAATCAATTGTTGCATTCGACTGAAATTGCTCAGTATTAAGGCATAGTGAAATTTTTGTTCGACTGGCAGGCGCTCTTGCTCAAAGTTCGAATTTTTTGGAACTGTACTTTTTTTCAGTGCCAGTGTCATTTTAGAGGTTAGGATTTATTTAATATATTTAAATATATTATCATTTTTGTCTCTATTATTAGTGAGAGTGGAAAATTTTTGAAATTAATAGAGATTTAATTTTTGGTTTGGCAACTATAAATAAATATCGTTTAAAATTTGTTAAAAACCTGAAATGTCAAGTGCTAACTGTGCCAGTCGAATAAGGATAAAGATGCGCTACACCATTGTCGAACTTTAGCTCCTGCTTGCTGTGTGCACTGCTAGATATGAATTTGAATTATAAAAATGCTGCCCAAAATCAATTCAGAACTAAAAGCGCTTTGTCATCGAGCAAGAGCATTTGAGTCGAATCCGCTATAAGCTTCTGACATGTTTTGTTCTTTAGAGTTGTCACAGGAAATCTTCTTTTTAATTTTCCGTGCGTCAATTTTTGATTTTTTCTTTGCTTGCTCTTCGTTTTTATATTTCAATTCCTCAAGATTCGGAGAACATGTTAAGACCGCGTACTTTTTTGTTACATTCCTTTTTCTTGATTGGTATATTGCTTTTGGAGGTGGAGATATTTCTAAAAATGGCACCTTTGCGACTACTGTCTTGTCTTCTTCATTACTATTGGGAAGTTCAGAAACGGCATCTGGTTGATTTTCTTTTTCTGTTTGATTGTCATCGTGAAGCTGCTCCCCAACGGATTTGGTGTATCAGTCTGAGTATCTTCTAGTGCAATATCAGTTGTGTCCGCTGGTACAAAAAGGTAATCGGTAATTGGAATTGAATGGACTGATTCCGGTTTTAGCAAATCTGCTTAATGCATTTTGGATTAAGGCTGCTTTACCATACGCTTCAGAAAAGAGTTCACTCACTTGGTAAGCTGTAAAAACACGACCTGGATGATTTTTCATCCATGTGGTACAAGCCTGATTGTAATACGCCTTTGGGGGTCCATCAAGCGGCTGCATACGGTGGGTGCAGTGAGCTGGGAAGCACATGAGAATGATGTTATTCTCTCTACAAAACGACACAGCTGCTAAGGAGGTATGGCTTACATGACCATCAAGCAGAAGGAGTATTTTATTCTCCAGAGAGGGATTAGCATGTTTGCAAAAATGTTTCAGCCATTGGGCGAAGAGTTCTGAGTTCATCCAACCAGACTTGGAGGTGCTTTATCAAAAATTTCATCTTTTTTGTTTTTCTTGAAAAGATCAAGGCTGGAGGAATATAGTTACCTATTGCACTTATGCAACAAACAACAGTTACATGCTGGCCTCTTTCTGCGCTTATCAAGGATCCTACTTATTTGCGCCCAGTTGATGCCAATATTTTCGGAGGTTTCTGGACAGTAGACAGTCCACTTTCATCCATATTGTAAATTTTCTCAACAGTGATAGATTTCTTTTGTAGAACAGATTTTAAAACCTCAAAAAATTTGGAAACTTGAGGCTTGTTAAAAGCTCGTGTCCTGGCTGCTAAAGTGGGTTCTGGTCGTCGTAGAGATATGTCGGTATTTCTTTTGCGAAATCCTCTGAGCCACTCTTTTCCTGCGATTCCTTTTTCACGGTTAAATCTATGATCTAGTTTATTTTTTCCGCAAACTCATAAGCTAATGGTCTCACTTCGGTTGTGGTTAAACCAAACAGTCTAGATTCAAGATATTTTAGGTGTTTTACCAACTCTATCTCTGTTTGGGAATCAAAAGTTATTGAAAATCGGCCCAGACTTTTCTCTACACCTTTAACTCTTTTATTCTTATTAGCAGCTCTACGTCTAAGAGTTGCTTGGGGAACGTTATAGACTTTAGATGCATTTAGCCATCCCATTCTCTTTTCTTGTATGTACATCTTTTATAGCTTGGTACGTAGATACTTCATCCCAGGACTGTCTATTAGTCTTTCTGACGTACCTTCCAACTATCTGTAAAAAAAATTAAGGATCGAATTACAATTAATATAAATCATTGTACCAAGATGACTAGAAATTGTACTGTGCGTCGTATAAAATGACATACTATGTCATTTTAACAACAACCACAATATGTCAGTTTAAACGCAATGTTACATTTTCAATATATAGATTATTATTGATAATTTTAAAGTTGCTATTAAAAAACCTACTTACCAATCAATTGTTCACTGTTCACATATAAGAATAATTATATGTGAACAGTTAATTATTAATATCAACACAATATTTAATACCACGAAGAATGATATAAAAACAGCAATGTAAAATCCACGCATACAAAACTTTCTTGCCACTGAAACATAACCTACACAATAAAACCGTTAAATAAACCTGGAGAGATCTGTAAACTTATAGTATATTTTAATAGAGTGTTTGTTACTTAGTACAGTTACCGAATAAGTGATGCCGCTTCTAGTTTCCTATATAGAGAAAGTGTATCATTTTAGCAGCTATGTCATTTTAGGACATTTTTCCCTACTAATGCTCAAATTACTTGAACAATTCTTTGGTTTTGTCTTACAAATTTTACCGTTTTTTCATGTTTGGCCTTTTTCAAATTTAAATTTGATATTGTTTTATCACGTGAGAAACGAGACGAGACGAGACAAGACGAGAGAAAGGCTCTCTCGAGCGGAGAAGCGCCTTCTCGTCGAGACGAGAGAGGCCACTCTCTCGTCTTATCTTGTCTCGCGGCATCACTAGTTACAGAAAAAATATAGATCCTATTCGAAACATGATAAAAGAGGACCGTCATATTACTGTCAGAAATATTCAAGCAATTAACAGTATTTTACACAATTATTTGAAAGTCCGTAAGATTTGTTCTCGGTGGATTCCGCACAACTTGATTTTATCTCAAAAAGAAGACCGTGTGAGATGGTGCAGATCTACACTAGATCGTTTTGACCGTGGATCGTCTAATTATATAAAAAAAATTAGATAAAACATACATGCATATACTGCTATGATCCCGAAAAAAGCAACAACCGTCAGTTAGGGTTTTTAGAACTATTGGGAATATTTCCACTGTAGCACTACCGTTTGTTTGTCTCAGGTTATCCGAAAAACATTTACATTACATTTAAGATTTTTAAAGAGGTTAAAGGGGAAGGTATAAAATCGAACCAAAAAAATTTTCGAATTAATTCACGTATTCCATATGATTTATATTCAAAAATTGCAAATTACGTAGAAAATAAATGTATCCGTTACTTACGGATCACACTGTATTTATCTATAGCCACCCTGAATTTAAAAACTAACTAACCTGATCAGCATAATAAATGTATATTAAAATATTTGACAAGTAAGGTTTTTAATATTTTAAAAATTTTAAAAATTTCTTGGTGTATGAAATCTTAATTTATATCATTATTATTACCATTATTTCACGTCTTTTTTTTTACTCTAGCTAATTACATAATAATTAAATACTATTAAACGTAAACTTTCAATTTCTAAATTAAGAATCGATAATTTAACGAACACAACACTCCATTCGATTATGTAATACCTGAAAGAAGATAATAAACGTCATAGTTAAATATTTTTTTAATTAATATTACAGGTAATTAATCCTAACTCGTAAAACTTAAAACTACTTAGAAGTGACATCAGATTGTTAGATAGCCACAAAACTTCGAGATTCCGAGTACGTTCAGTCAGAAACAGATTTTCAAAAAGTTTTTGTCACTCTATATATTTATAACATATCTGTAGCAGAAACATACCTGCCTAATACAGTGTTTACACAATGCATAAATATGTTGCAATTTAATAAAATATATATATAGAATTATCTGATCTTTATAAGTGCAGTGTGCAAGTGTATTATATAGTTTTTCGAAAATAATTAGAAAACTTTGTTTTGTGTACTGATTTACCATGGATTTGCCGGATATGGAGGATATTCATGTATCTGACAGACTTTTGGGTAAGTTTAAATTATTTTTTTGTTGTTTTTCCAGGTAGTGTTTTTGTAAATAAAATCTATTACAGCAAGTTTAAAATGTCCTTGATTTAAAATCGTTTAAAAATAAAAACCACCAAATTCCAATGAATACACCTCCACATAACCAGTCGATTGTAATTTACCTGTGGTTCTGACATCTTTTTACCTACGCATGGAATAATTCAAGAAAAATTCCTCATATAAAATTAATAGAGGAATTAGAAATAACTTTCCAAATCGGTCACATATTTAAGAGTAGTATTTACTTAGCATTAGAGCAGAGCATGTAAGGGTTTCATAGTACCCCACTTTTAAAGTTTATTAACGGTTAAATCTGTGCTCATCTGGAGTCACTTTTTCAAAATTTAAATGTTTTTTTCTAAAAAAAATAAAATACAAAACTCGACTTTTTTACCCATTTTCTCAATTTTTTTTAGAAAAAGTAAATTAAATTTTGAAAAAGTAGTTCCAGAGGAGCATAGATTTAATCTTTACTTACACGTACATATTTTTTTCTTTTAAAAATAGTCAAAAATAAACTTTAAAAGTGGGGTACTACCAAACCCTTACATTGAAGATTTTTCGTCAGGAAAGTGGCGCCTCTGTTAGATTTTTTAAGAAATTAATATTTGTTAAAACAATTTATAATATATTTTACTGATGTTTTTTAAGGGATAAATAAATTTTACGTATTTGTACACCTTATTGTTTTACGTAAATCATTTCTGTAATACTAAGATCGACATACAGGGTGTCTGTAAAAGGTCTTTACAAAAACATACCACATATTCCTTAGACCAAAATAAGTCGATTTAAGTAAAATTACCTTAGTACAAAGTTGCTTCGTTTGGGCTCCAGAGGGCCTTGAAGTTACAATTTTTAAATCGTTTTTCCCATATAAATTTAAAACGGCATATGCGATTTTGCTGAAATTTGGTATATTGGTAGAGTTTTATGTGGCAAAAAAAATGGTATTAAAATTTTGTCCGATAATAATACATAGGCGTAGAACTTGGTTTTTTAAATAATTGCACCTTTAAAAATTCTACGCCAATGGAAGAAAAGGAGTTTGAGTATGAAATTTAGATTGCGCAACTCTTTTACTTTAAAAAAGGTACTCTTGATAAGACTCGATTACTCTCATGGTTTTCGCTAAATTTCTGTTTTAATAATTTAGAGTGTATAGGTTTCACAAAAATATTTATTTACAATATAATCAAAATAGAGATTTTACAAAAATTGTTCAAAATGTTCACCATTTTCACGCATACAAAGATTTATACGTCGAAGAAAATTAAAATGTATCCTTTCCATAACTTCTTCATCACCTCTAAGATTGTTTATTGCATCTTGAATACGTTGCCAGAGTTGTTCCTCATTTTCTACAGGTTCCCTGTAAACTGTGGATTTCAGATGTCCCCATAAAAAGTAATCCATCGGTGTGTGGATATTGTTCATTCAAGTGGTTTCTAACGTTTAAAGAAAAATGTGGTGGAGCTCCATCTTGCATAAACCACATATCTCTCCGAAGTTGGAGAGGTAAATCTTCTAACAATTCTGGCAACGTATTTTGTAGAAAATCCAAATAATTTTCTCCAGTTAATCTTCGTGGAAGTATGACAGGACCAACAATGAAATTACCAATTATTCCAGCCCACACATTAATTTTGAATTCGTGCTGAAAATGGTTTACCTTTATTGCATGCGGATTTTCAACGGCATAAACATGTTCATTATGGGTATTAGTTATACCTCTTCTTGTAAAACCCGCTTCATCGGTAAAGAGAACCTTCTTGACAAAGTTTGGATCTCTTTCTCTTTGCATATTAACAAATCGACAAAAACCCAAACGAATTTGAGGATCATGGACTAATAATTCTTGTACTGGCTTCTTATGGTATGGATATAGCAATTGTTCTCTAAGCACTTTATAAACGACATCTTTACTTACTCCTAGTTCCCTTCCAATTCGTCTGGTGCTTAATTCTGGATCTTCTTCAACACGTTCTAAAATGTCTTCTTCAACTTCAGGAATCCTTACAAAACGTACAAAACATTATCAACAGTGTTGGGAGCAAAGGAACCAGTCTCCCGAAGACGTCTCTCAACAGCAGCAAAAGTTGGGTGGCTAGGTACACGACGATTTGGAAACCTTTCAGAGTACACCCTGACACTCTCTCGAGCATGTCCTTCACAAAATCCTAATGTCAGTAACATATCTGTATATTCTGCATTGGTATATTGTACAGCCATATTAATAAACCACGCATTTGTTTTTTTAATTATTTAGTCAGATAGAACACTTTCAATCGTTAACAAGAGATTAGGTGTTAAAACTTGACAATATTTTTATTTAGATGAAACTATGGAAACCAACAATAAATGTTTTTGTATACGTATTGCAGGCAAATAATTAATATTCCTCAAAAAATCGTACATGGCAAGAATCAAGTATTTTTGTTAAAAGTCTCGATTAGAGGTGTTGAAGAAGATATGAAAAAAGTACATTTTTATGTTTTTCATCGTATAAAATTTTGTCCGATAATAATACATAGGCGTAGAACTTGATTTTTTAAATAATTGCACCTTTAAAAATTCTACGCCAATGGCAAAAAAGGGGTTTGAGTATGAAATTTGGATTGGGTACTCATTTACTACAAAAAAGTACGCTTGATAACACTCGATTTACTCTCATGGTTTTGACAAAGTTTGTATTTTAATAATTATTGTTTATGTTCTAAAATTACTAAAATGCAAATTTTATCCCATTTTTTAAACGAATCCACTTAAAATTAATATGTATCGATTATAATTTTTTTCACGTGGACATTTTAACATGCTTGTTTTAACAAACAGTACGAAAAAGATGACTGATACTAACGCATGCGCACAAAAAAAATGTGATAAAAAGGCCTATGGTCCACAGATGAGAAAAAAATGAATGTGACACGAGATCAAGCTGATTATGCATTGTGGCACAATGAAAGACGAAAACGTGTCACTACTTCAAAATTTGGAGGTATTTGTAAAAAAATGAAACGTCTTTAAAAAATCTCATAAAATCTTCTATTATGGCTTCTAATATGGCTTGGACAATAAATCCAGAGGAAAATAAGATTTGGAAATTTATTTGCAAGAAAAAGTTTTTAAATTCCCAATTTGATTATGTTGCTGACAGTCCGCATGGAATTTAAAACAACTACGATAGAGTAGAGAAATACCTTTTTGGAAAAGGGACAATACTATTAAGGAAAACCACAATTGGTATTTTCAAATTCAGAGCTAGATTGCAAAACCTTCAAAATTCGTGTCTTAGATTTATTTTTAGTATAAAAAATTTGACAGAATTAGTCACACACTCTCTCGAAATCGTTGGTTATCGATGGCTAATAGACGGAAGTTGCACTCCTTAACTCCTTTCTTAACAATCCCACGACATAGAACTACCATGTTTAAAAGATCTTTTAGATTTCATATGGCTTCAATGTATATATAATAAGTTACCAATAGACTTAAAAAACTTAAATTCAAATACATTTAGAAAGAAAATATTTAATTTTTTATTCAATGAGCAATGCAGTAGTAGTGATTTTGTGTGATTTTGTGCGGCAATTTCAATGAACGTTTTGTTTCATATTTTTGTTTTTGTTCTGGACTGTTATATATTACCATTACTATAATACTATTATTGTTATTATTATTATATTACTATATTACTAGATTTCGTATTAGTTAGAAAATAATTGCCAAAGTAAATTCTCCTTAAAAAAGCCTGCCACGTTTCAAACTAAATATAACATTACGAGTAACTGCATTACCGACAGAGTAAGAGTTGATGGTAATACTGCTGGTAACTACATTACCGATAGAGCACAGACCATACCCATTAAAGATGGGCCACTCAACAGTGAAAAATTTTACTCATCTTTCAGCGCCATCCGTAGCGGTTGCAAATAGTTGAGTTAAAAAAAAAGAAGATAACTAATAATTGAAAATTTGTTCAAGATTTATTATATAGATGGCGGTAGGGGTCAATGAGCGCGGGTTTTTCAAACTCAGCCTTTCTAATAAACCACTACTAAGTTTTCAAAATTATAATTTTTCGTTCTTTTTTACTTAAAATGATTCAAACATTTTATTCTTCACTCAACATACTTAGATGGATATAATCCATTGGGTTATGTTCTGTGATAGATAAAATTTGAAATATTTTAAGTTAAAAAGAAAACGAAAAATTATAATTTTGGATTTATGGAACAAAAAATACATCTTATTATGAAGTAAAACACGATTATAACCATATATTTTTTATTATTAGAATTAAAATTGCACGAATTCTTATTACAGTACACAATAATAAAGAAATATGAATATAAAACTATTGCGAAGTTCACCCATGGTTGTATCCAGTAGAAGTTGTAACGAAAGTTCCTGGGGAAAGTTGGCTCTGGCTGCTGTTGGGTGTACTTGTCACTTCCTATTGCAGTGTTTGCTGATTCGTTTTCATGTAAAAAATGAAGAAGAGTATCAGTTAAAAAATATAAAGTTCAATTTTATTATTTTTGTTTTGAGTCAATTCAGCTGAGCTATTAATTTATTAGCTAGTGAGAATGAATCGGCATTTCTTAAAAATATATCGTAGAAGATTTTTCAATAAAATGAAGGAATTTGAATTTAGTAAGAATGCATCTTTTATTAATTGGAATCAATAAATTGTGAAGATACCTAGGTGAGGTAGGTCACAGTATATGGAGCAAAAAATAATAAGAGTCGCACAATATAAAATATACAATTATTGGTATGTTTGAAAAGTACCTCATTTTGAATTCGGAAAAAAAATTGTATATAGGTATCTACTATAAAGTATCCATTACATATTGTATAATTCTAAAAAATACTAATAACACTATTTATTTCAATCTTCTTAATATTCACATATTTTATCTAGTTACTGAAATTGTATAGAAAATGATAAAAGTTAG